TCTGTTCTAGGAATCTTTTCGGGGCGTGTGACCAAGCTCTTCAAGTCTAGTTTCCAACGCAACTTGAATCGCATCAATCCGATTTGTAGAACTCAAGATATGATCAAAAGAGTGAGCAAAGGTCATTTTTGATACCTTGCAAACCTTTGTTTTTCCCCGTTTCTAACTCAACTTCACTTCCGCAAGGTCCATGGTGACTCCCGTGGATGCTATTTTCATTTTCCATGCACAAAATCCTTAAAGCCAACATCCACGAGCATAAATCCCTCGATCGATGAACTCGATCCATCGATTTCCATTCAAATATCATCCGAATCATCTCTAAACACTTCGAAATAAAGCTTCCAAATGACTGTGAAATCACCTGGAACATTAAGAAAAACACAAACAGAGCGCAATAGAGCAACATATAATAACTTATGCAGACATACTCTAAAAACGACTAAGAAGACTATGAAAAAGCTCTAACTATAGCAAAAACGTGCCTAAATAAAACTATATAAATATGATCTATCAGCTAGTGGCGTGGGGAAATTGATCTTTCATAGGTAAATCTTACTTGCATTGTTTTGATTCCAAAATGTGATTCACCTTAACGTGGGAAATTGATATTTCAAAGGTAAATCGTACTTGCATTGTTTTGATTGCAAAATGTGATTCACCTTAATGTATGAATGTGTTTAGGACTATTAGTTTGTGCAATGTGCTCTATAAGATTATATCTAAAATACTTGCAAATAAATTAAAACCTTTTCTGAATTCTATTATTTCAGAAAATCAGAGTGCTTTTTTCCGAAAAAGGTTGATAACAGATAATTCTCTCATTGCTTTTGAAAACTTTCATTCAATGAAGAGGGGTGGGGAAGGTAGAGATGGCAATGTGGACATGAGCAAGGCATATGATAGAGTTGAGTGAGTTTTAATAGAGAAGGTGATGTTACAGATGGGATTCCGAGTAGCATGGGTGGAAAGAATTATGAGATGTCTATCTAGTGTCTCTATCTCTTTTAAGTATAATGGTGCAATTTGGGGCTCATTGATACCTTCTCGTGGACTCTAGCAGGGTGATCCTATTTCACCATACTTGTTTCTGATTTACGCAAAGGCTTTCTATAGCCTAATTACTAAGGTAACAAACGAGAAAATAATTCACGAGGTCCGGGTTTGTAGAGGTGCTCCAAGAATTTCACACCTTTTCTTTGCGGATGATAGCATTTTATTTGCTAGAGCGAATTTGCAAGAATGCTCTAAAATTGCTGATATAATCAGTACCTATGAAGAGCTTCCGGTCAGAAAGTCAATTTAAGCAAAACTTGAGGTGGCTTTTAGCAAATGTGTTGATTCAGAGAGAAGAAAGGATATTATTAAAACTCTTGGTGTTCTGGAAGTGGATAGGCATGAGAAATATTTAGGCCTCCCTACATTGATTGGGAGGTAAAAAAAAGTTGTTTTTACTTGTCTAAAGGAGCACGTATGGAAGAAGTTAACAGGTGGAAGGAAAAATTGCTATCTCGCCCCAGGAAAGAGGTGCTCATCAAAGCCGTTGCGCAAGCGATTCCCACATATATGATGAGTAGTTTTTTTTTTATCCTGGAAGGTTTATTTGATGAAATACAAGAAATTTTAGCTCGGTTTTGGTCGGGTTCTAGAGGTTCAGAAAGAAAAATCCACTGGCACTGATGGGAACTTCTTTGTCTGCCAAAATCTATAGGTGGAATGGGGTTTTGTGAATTGAAATGTTTCAACCAGGCTTTGCTTGCGAAACAAGGGTGGCGCCTTTGTAATAGGGGCAACACTTTGCTGCAGCAGATTTTGAAAGCTAAGTACTACAAAAATTCTGTTTTTTGTGGGGTTGTTAGAGGTTTTGACCCGAGCTACTCTTAGAGAGGCATATGGGGAGCAAAGTCCTTGCTTCTTGAGGGACTTTAGTGGAGGGTAGGCAACGGAAGCTCGATCAAAGCTTGGGAAGATGCATGGCTGCCTAGAGACATAGCCCATTTTGTTCCCATACCATTGGCAAATTCTAACCCTAACTTGCTAGTGAGTGATCTGATTGATTTTGTTGCTATGTCATGGAATGTTGAGGTGGTTGAAGCAAACTTTGACATGGAGGATTGCAGTAAAGTATTGAATATCCCACTCCCTACTGTTGCTGTGTGTGATAGGAGATTTTGGTGGCTAACATCATATGGACTATTCACTGTACGCTCTGCCTACTGGCTAGGAAGACTGGGATGTACGAATGCCTGGAACCTATACTATGGCATGGATGGAAATGATACATGGAGAGTAGTATGGGGGTTGAATGGTCCACCAAAATTATGCCACTTCTTATGGAGGTCGTGCAAAAACTCACTAGGAGTCATGGATGTTCAGTTCTCGAGGCACATCCGCAATTCACATACATGTCCTGTGTGCGGGGATAACAGAGAGACTATTATACACTCTCTATTCTACTGCAGCCACGCCTCTTCTATCTGGCGGTACAGTGACTTCAGAGATTTGATAAATGATGCTCAAAAGAGCTCTTTCAGGGAGCTACTTCTGTGGGTGGCTGGAAAATTAGACAAAAAACAACTATTAATATTCTCTTGCTTAGTGTGGGCTGCATGGTCTTGTAGGAATAAGGTGATTTTTGAGGATGCAAATAATCTGTACAACGTTAGCTTGGCAGCAGGCTATGTGCGTATGGGTGAAGAGTATGGCATTTATAATGCAAAATTTGGTGGGTGTGTTGCTACAGCTGTTGTCCCTTCGTCTGCAAACTGGAGTTCCCCTAGCAGTGGGTGTGTGAAGGTGAATTTTGATGCTCATGTTCCCACAAATGCTGAGGTAAGGCTTGGGGTTGTGATACGTAATGAGCATGGCTCTCCGCTGCTTGTTGCTATAAAAAATACGAGGTGTGTGTGGTCTGTTGAGCTTGCAGAAGCTGCTGCTGCTCGATATGGGATTGACCTCCCAAAACAGATGGGATATGAGAGGGTGGTTCTTGAAGGGAATGCCATTAACGTTGTCAGAGCTATAAAATGCATGCAGGAGGGTGCAACCACCATCTTTCTCCTATATGATGATATTCATAGAATGTCAAGTTATTTTTCTTATTTTTCTTTTAATCACATTAGAAGGGCAGGAAATACAGTGGCTCACTATTGCCGCTAGATGGGATTCGGGTAGTGCTAATGAACGTATATGTATGAGCTTATCCCCTCAAAGCTTTCAAACTTTGGCGGATCTTGATCTTTAATAATATTTCCCGACTTGGCTTCAAAAAAAAAAAGGAATGTCAAAAACCTTAGAAATTTGGGGAAAAAATTGTGAGAACAGTATGGAGGAGTAGAGAGAAAATAATAGAGGAGGAGATTCAATAAAGTATTCCAGTTGAATGTTAATCTATTGTTTTCCTTCCAAATCTTTTTAAATTTGGAAGGATTTTATACTTTAACAATTAAACAAAATTTTCCCTTCATTTCCCTCCCCTCCATTTCCCTCACCCCCTTAATTTGATAACCAAACAATGGATTTCATCCCCCTTCCTTTCCCTCCATTCAATTCCTTCTTATCCAAAGAAGCTGAATTGAAATCCGAATTTTACAATAACGAATTAGCAAACAACCTCAACCAATTTCTAACCCGCAACCTTCCCCGTTAAAACCAGAAATCTCTCCCCCGTAAACCCCTCCAATTCAGCCCAATTCACCGTATCATCATTCTCCGAGTCAAATGTAATTGCAAGATACCAATACATTCAAAATTGAAGGTGTCTTCTACAATGACAATTTTAAGAAGGGGATGAATAACAATTCATCATTATTTTGCTGGTTATTTCGTTATGGAAGTAAAATCATTAGATCGCATGGCATGGCATAGCATCAAAATATACAGTAGATTGATTAATTGGACAATCAACCCAACAACGAACTACTAGTATGAAATTTACCAACTCTTTTAGTTAATGTATTCATTTTTAATTATTGTACACATAAAATAACAAGAAATTAATTAACAATTTAGGATGAAAAATGTTGTTCAATCATACCTTTCTGAACGAAGAACACCATAATTCTGTTCGAAAAAAAAAAACAATGAAGAATTATGGATATGTTATTGTATATTTTAATCGATCCTTATTAGCTTTGAGTTTTTGAGCAAAAATCTTAGGGTTTGTAACAATTGGGAATTAAGATAACCTTTCTCAATAAAATAAGGGTGCGTGAGAGATGGAATGTGACGAGTTTGATTAGAACAGGGTTTTAATTTTGTATTTTATGTTCTTTAAATTTAAGTAGTAATTAACTAAATTAAAGTAGGTAACTTAACCACAAGTCAATCACTGTTAACAAAATAGCTAATGAAGGACATATATAAAACAATACATAAAATTTGTGGAATCGTGTAGAAGTTAGGATTCAAAAGGGCACAACATAAAAAATGCAATAATTTAAGGGTACCATGTAGAAAACCCAAATATACATGATCAGTCAAAATTTGGCACTCCTTCAAAAAAAAAAAAAAAAAAAAAAAATTAAAATTAAAATTGGGCAAGCTTTAATTATGCTAAGTATGAGAATGATTTCATAACTACGGAGTAATTGAGAGCACGTATAGTATGTACGATGTAGTTCTGTACGACGAGTCAACTTTGAAAGCACACCCAACCATACGTCCATACCAAAGGCTTTTTCTACTAGTCTAGTCATATATCTTTTTCAAAAAAATAATAAATAAATAAAATAAGGCAACAATTTTAGGTGAAATGGAAAGAAAGAAGCTAAACAAAAGATTTAAAGAAGTATATACTCCCTAGCTCTGCTTTCAAAAGTTCAACTAGTTTACCATAACAAATCTTTTGTCTCCACAAAAATTATTGATTAAGCGGACTTTTAAATAGATTGAAATTACCCTTATACTACAAAACTTATTATTTTTCTAACATAAATTTTATATCCTTAACGTATTAAATTAATCATATTATTCTTAATAACATGTATCCATAAGGAAATACATATTAAAATACAATTATCAATTAAAGGGATTAAAGTTATCATAAATAATTGTTAAAATTACTTTTAAATTAATCGTCTTACAACAAAATTAATGTAAGTTTCTCTAGTACAAGATTTATTGTTGTTTCTATAAATAACTGAAAAAGTGAGTTTATATAGAAGATGTATATGATATGTAAAGACATGTGTGACTGTGTTAGTGTAAGAAAAAAAAAAGAAAAAAAGTAAGAAAAAAAAGTAACTAATGGAAGGGAAAGTGTATAAAAAATGTGCAATAGTGTGGTGTTAGTTGAAGGAGTAAGATCATAAACGAATTCAGTGGCGGATCCAGGATTTTCGAACTTATGAGTCACCATCAATAATTGATCACTTATTTCAATCCAAAAATTATACTACCTCCGTTTCATAAAATCTGCAACAATTTCCTAAAAGGGAAACTACACATTATGTGCAACAAAAAAAAACTTCCCTAATATAGTAAAATTTTTTGTTTAAATTTACCAACATATCCTTACTTAACTTCAATAAACCACCTATTAACTTATTAACCTAAATTAATTTATTCATAATTAAACCCTAACCCATATTCTCTCTCCTCCCTCATAGCCCACATCCACCACCAACATCACCAACTTTTCTCTCTCCACCCTCTCAACCACCAGAAACACACTTTTCTCTCTCATCCCTCTCAAGAGTCTCAACCACCAGTCAGATCAGCGCCACCTCGTGACAGTCGCCGCCCCTTACTCGCGACACTCGCTGGCACGAGCTAATCGAAAATTCAGATCAAAGTCGTCGGCTTCTTGCTTCCCTTATCAAAGTCGTCGGTCCTCCTTGAAATTCAGATCTAATCGAAAATTGTGATGGGGTTTCGGATCAACTTGCTTCCCTTATCTAAGTCGTCGGTCCTCCTTCAAATTCAGACCTAAGTGATAATGGTGATGGGGTAATTAGGTGGGTTGGGGTTTTTGGTGGTTGCGACTTAGGTGGGGTGGGGTGGGGTTTTTTCGGATCTTGGTGGTGGTGCGTGAGAACGTGGGGGGAGTTTTGGTGTTTTCGGATCTTGTGGTGGTGCGTGAGGAGTTGTGTTACACGGTGGGTTTTTGGTGGTTGTGAGTTGGGTAGGGTGGGTTTTGGGCATGGTTCGGATCTTGTGGTGGTGAGAGGGTGGTCGAATGTGTTGAAGGTGGTCCTGCGGTGGTTGTGTTGGTGGCGGTAGGGTGGTCGGATGTGTCAAAGCCTCAAAGGTGATGTTACTGGTGGAGAATGTGGGTGTTAGCGGTGCTAAGGTGGGCAGTTTGGTGGGTGGCTTGGTGGGAGCAGAGGTTTTTGTTGTTGGTGGGTGGCTTAATCAAATTATCCCACTTTTTTTATTAACCCTTAATAACCTACCCTTACTTTTGTTAAACTACATTTATCAAATTTTGTCTTGGGAAACGTAAATCCTAGTTTGTTGCAGATTTTATGAAACGGAGGTAGTATAAAAAAAATTATATTTCACCAAATTTATTTCAATCCAACAATCTATAACCCTTATAAAAGCCCCAAGCACCAAGACTGTAGCAATTTTACTGTTCCTTATGAACAGAGAATTGACGGTTTTGCCCTCCCTGCCCCTTAGCACCCTTCTCTGGTTGACCAAGTTGACCGGGCTATTTCGGTCTTTTTGCTTTGACATTGCATGTTGTCTCAGTGGGCTGACGCGTGGCAATTCCTCTTTCTTTGTCGGTGTTCTGCAGCTTACTCTTTTTCTTTCTTTCCTGCTTTCTTTTCCCATTAGCTAAGTCTTTCTTCCTTTTCGTTTTTCCTTTTTTTTCTTAGTAAATTAATTGTTGCTTTTTTAATGTGTGTGGGTGTTGCAGCGGCTGTGTCAATGGCGGAATTTCAAGGAGTTGGTGGTGGTGTAGTTGCGTGATTTCGAGGAGTTAATGGTGGTGTTGTTGCGCGAATTCGCGGAGCTGATGGTGGTGTATATGCCCAATTTGAAGGACTTGGTGGTGGTATTTTTTGGATCTGGTTGTTTTGAGCTATGAGGTATTCTCCTCTTGAGTATTTGTCAGTAGGAAATTTGTTAAATCAAAATCAAAATATCAATTCATAAAGACATGAGCAGTGTTTTTAAGCAAATCTAATTAAAGCATTAGTACCATTTCAATTTACCTGTAGTATCTCATTTTGATTAAAAACATGAGTTAGCTAATTTAAAAAAAATTAGAATTAGCATTGTGTAATAAAAATTAATTTCTCATATAAATTTTGTTTAAGGATTTTATAAAGAGATTATGAACGAAATACAGTGATGTGTCTTGTAAATTTGTTTTATTAGTTTATTATTTAAATATAAACTTAGCTTCAGAAACTATTGATAGGGGAAATTGCTTTTGGAGGGTTTGGTGCTGTAATGTGTACCTATGTGAATTTAAAAATTTATAGAGGGGTTTTAGTGTGTACTAAGTTCCATTTTTTCTGAAGAGATAAAAATACCCTTTTTTTTTAAGCTATAATAATGATAAAAATAAACTAGAGTATATTTCAGATGTCTTTTTTGGTTGCAGTGTATTATTTAATAATTTTTGTGGAGAAGATATTTTTTTTATGATGTACTAGAACAATTTATATGGTCTTGGTTTTTTGGCTAATAAAATATATGGGATATGTCCTTTGCTTTATTCTTTATTATATATGTGTTCTGCATGTTTGGTTTGTTTCAATTTTCTGACTTGCTTCTTCTTTATCTTCTGTCTGAAAGAAAAGGTTTGTATGTGAAACTTTGTTGGGGTAATTGGTTAATTAGATTTTGATAAAAATATAATATCATGGGTTTAATTCCTTATGGATCTCATTTGTACAGACAACATTGGATATTGACTTAATGAATCTTGAACTTTTTATGCACCATAATTTCCTGGACATACATTGATGTACAATTATTTGAATTTACAGTTATATATTTTTTATAGGAAAGTAAAATAGAACAATTACTAGAAATTAGTTGTTTATGCATTTGTATTATTTTTGAAGCATTCAATTTGGTTACATAGCTTAATTTTTTTTGCCCTTGTGTTTTTTGTTTTTCTTCTTTCTTTTTTTTTGGATAAAAAAAAGGGAAAAAAAAGAATAATTGTAGGTGTATGCACTTGGAGCTGGTTGTGCTGGTAAAATTAATTGCAGCTACTGGTGGTAAGTTTATTATTATTGATTTAACTTGGAATATTATAAGGTGGCTTGGTTTTCTTACATATGTTACCTTAGTTGTTGCACTTTGATTGTAGTTTAAGTTTAGAGGATGTATATGTTAAATGTTTTTTTTTTTCCCCGGTTACAGGTTATGGCTATTCAGTCAAGCAAAATTGCCATTCCATTTCGACCTCTTTTAGGTCAATTGATTGATTGTTTAAATTTTCCTAAACCGGTTTATGGTTTCATAGATAGGGATAGGAATAATGCTTGTGTTCGTATTAGGACTGAATGTGGGAAGTCTGAATTTGTATTTTTCGGTGGGGAAGCTAACACAGTTGAGGAGTCCCAAGAGAGAGCAGCTCAAAAAGCTGTGCAGAAACTGATGAACCAGTTTGGGGTGCGGGTGAATGATTTTACATCCGATAGAGCAAGGATGTATCAGCTATGCAGTAAGCTTTTTAAGCATAAGGTGGTTGAGTTATGTAGTGAAAAAGGGATAGTGATGCCTGGTGCACAGAAGGTTTTGGGCAAAAAAACCATCTGGTGATGTTGTTCATGTGACGATTGACTTTGTAGGCTTTTTAGGAGCTGTTGTTACAAGGACTGGAGCAAAGGTGAGTCCATTAGAGACTATTTGGGTTAAAAATTTGGGCTTTGTGTCCTGGCTAACAGTGTCTTGCCCACATAATGGAGGTGAAATGGAATGCATATATAGTGATGCTTGTCCTGAGTTAGCTGATGCGAGGCAAAAAGCTGCCAAAAGAACTATTCATTACTTGGTGACTAAGTATAATCTAGAGATCATTGATGCTAATTATGGTGCAATTTCGGAGAAGCATGTTGCTTGCAGTGCTCTAAAGAGAAGGTTTTACCAATTAAAGGAGCATTTGACTGCCAGAGAGGAAAACTTTGCTACTGATGAATGCTTGACTCCTACTTCTGAGAGGTTTCGGATCCTTGAGATTGGTTTGCCTCCAGCTGCTCCAGTTAAAAGACGTTCGGTTATAGCATTAGATGCAGCATCTTCTTCTACTGTTAGAGTTGTTGAACCTTTGGTTTCTGGCATACCTGAATTAGAGACTGTATGGAAGCGGGCAAAGTTTGTTTAGCCTATATGGAGACTTACATTAGTATTTTGGGTAGAAAGTTGTATGCCTGGATATAGGTGTTTAGATTTAGCATTGATATATGCTTATTATCTTTCCTTTTGTCTTAGAGCCTAGGTCTATGAGTAGTAATGGCTGAAATTTTTCATTAGAAAACAGACTTGAAGGCTGTAATTGAAATATAATGTAATGTGTATCTTGAGTAATGAATGGATTAACTTTTTATTGTAGTTCTCATGACTTCTTAATTTAATATTGCTCTTTCATTAATTTTATTGTTAATTGTATGTCTTCTTGATTTTACAATGCTCTTTCATGTTTGGTGTTAAATATGTTCAGTATTTTATCTTTTTGAAGCTACATGGAAAATGTAAACACGGGTTTTAATTATGCATTAGCTTTTCTGTTTGCAGTGAATGGTAACTATTTATGTATACTGATATTCAAATTTCGATTGTATAACTTAGTTTATGTATGTATATAAGCATGTGAGGGAATAGGGAGAAAAGGAAATCTTTAAAGTAGGATTAGAGTTAAAGGAAGTAACAAGATGAGATAATGACAAGCTTCAATGGCTTTATAAAATAATACAAAGCAAGTATTGTTAATGATATGCACATGCTCTTATTAAGGTACAAAATAATGTAGTAGATTAGTAGAATTCATTTATTTTGTTTTGTGGCAGTAAAACAGGAGGATATTGCAATATCAAATCGAGATCAGTGTAAAATTCAGGAATTATTGTTATAGGCTTAGATCACAGAAGTTTACGCAGAACAAATATTGGAACAGGTAAACATTTGCTTGAGTTGAAGGAGATATGCAAGTTAGTGTATTAGATTGATCAAATTTGTGAGGATTTAAATTGCAGAGCCTTTTAAGTTGCACCTTATTTTTTATTAAAAAAACATCTTGTTAACTGCACCTGCTGAGTATTTCTATATATGTTCTTTATACAGTTAATGACATAAACTGAGATCGTTAATAACTTGTGCAAATTGTTGAGATGTGCATGCAAATGGTTGACATGACTTGGCCTGCAGCAAAGTAATATGGGTATATCTGAAAATTTTGCATGATTCTTATGATAAGTCTTTCTATTTATATGCGCATTGCTATGTTCATTTATGATATTTATTTTATGTTCAAGTTGCTGAGTTATTGTTTTAATTGTTTATATGATAGCTGATGCACCTATTAATTTTAAGAGACCATCATTTCAAGGTCGAAAATCAAAGCGAATGAGTGCTTTGGTATCAACTCATAATTCTACTAGGTAAAATAGATGATTTAAAATAATAAAATTATTATTTTGGTGAACTAAATTCATAGGTTCTTTATTCTTTGTACAGTCAAGCAGAACAACCAAGATCGAAAAAGCCTAAATCAAGACCTTCGAAATATATTGTACTTGAAAGTGGGTCATTTGCCTTACATTGAGTTACAAAAGTGAATATATATATATATAGTATTTTTTTATAAGATCTGGTTTAATTTCTTTTTGGTCATGCTACAGAGAGGCCTTCAACTCACAGATCTACACCAACAAATGGCCAAAGTTCAAAACAGCTAAGGGATGCAGCTAAAAGTAAGGTTTAGTAGTAATTTCAGTTTATCTATTTTGCACACATACATAGTTGCACAATCAAATTATCTCAAATACCCTTTAATGTTATTACAGAAACCCCTGCGGCAACTATAGGAAAACCATTACCTAGGCATCCCCTAGAATTATCTCCACCTACTTACTGTGATAAGTGTGGAGCTAAGAAGTTTGAGTTTGAAACTCTACATTTTTGTTGTGGTAATGGTGATATTAAAATAGCTGAGAATGAATATCCCCCTGAATTAATGAGGCTTTTTACTTCAAGAGATGAAGATGCTCTCCATTTTAGAAAATATGCACGGTTATACAATAACTTATTTGCTTTTAGTTCAATTGGAGGTAAAACTAATAGAGAAACATACAAAGGTATATATGTCTTTAAATTTCATGGCCAAATATATCATTCTGTACCAGACTTAATACCAGATGAGAATGGTCCAAAGTATCTGCAACTTTATTTCTATGATGGGCAAAATGAATTGAAACACAGAACAGACTGCTTTCCTGAATTAAGACAAGATGTTATTGACAAATTAATGCAAGTAACTAAAGATAATCCATATGCAAGATTTTTCCGCTCTTTGAAAGAAGTAAATGTTGATGAGCGTACTAACATTATAATAAATTCAAACACTGTACCAGATCAAAGAGTATATAATGCTCCCACTTCAGATGAAGTTGCTGTTATCTGGCCTGATAGTGTTTCGTCAAGTCAGAGTTCATGGCCACATGTTCTTGTAACAACAAATTCTTCAAAGTCTCATCGGATTGCTCATTTTTATGGGTGTTATGATCCTTTGCAGTATCCCTTGCTATTCCCAAGAGGTGAATGTGGTTGGCATCAGGGTTTAAAGAAAACTTCTTATGGTGGAGGCAGACAAGTGGCAACTGAACCTGATCCGATACAGTCCTGCGCAGTACACACTCCGGCAGATTTTCTAGATGCAGAAGCTGCTCGTAAGTTCTTAAAAGAATAATGGTATTATTTTTAAAGCTGTTTTTATACTTGTGTTTCCTTATCGTATGCTTAATTTGAATTTTCTCTAGACTTTAATGTTTGTAGGAGCTTCTGGAAAACATACCAAAGCTGATAAGAATATCTCTGCAAGGGAGTACTATTGTTATAAGCTTCAAATTAGACCAGGAAACATGCTGTTAAGAGCAGGCCGTGCATTTTTGCAGTATATCACAGACATGTATATCAAAGTTGAAAACACAAGGTTAGATTTTTTTCGGCAAAATCGGGATACAATAAGAGCGGATCTTTATAAAGGGATTCTAGACACTGTAGAGAGTGGCCAGACAAGTGCAGCTAATATTGGTCATAAGTTCATTTTTCCACCATCATTTATAGGAGGCCCTCGTGATATGAAAAGGAGATATCTGAATGCAATGGCTCTTGTGCAGAAATACGGGAAACCTGATCTCTTTGTCACTATGACCTGCAATGCAAATTGGCCAGAGATAAAAGATGAGCTAGAGCCTGGTGAGACCGCACAAGATCGGCCAGAATTAGTTGCTCGTATATTTCGAGCAAAGTTGATTGCTCTGAAAAACAAAATAAAAAAAGATGAAGTATTTGGTAAAGTGGCAGCAATGATATATGTCATAGAGTTTCAGAAAAGAGGATTGCCACATGCTCATTTCCTATTGATTCTAGAGCAACAGCATAAGATGAAGTGTCCTGCTGATTATGATAAATATGTCTGTGCAGAAATACCTCCTGTTACTCAGCCTGAGCTCCGTAAAATTGTGTTAAGGCATATGATGCATGGACCATGTGGCCGCTTAAATCCAGAGTGTCCTTGTATGAGAAAGAAGGATAATGTTATTTCTTGTAAAAATGGGTATCCAAAACAATTCCCCGTACAAACAACAACAAATAAAGATGGCTATCCTTGCTATAAGAGAACTGATACTGGAGAACAATTGAAAGTCAAAAATGCTCAGTTAGATAACCGATGGGTTGTCCCTTATAACCCCTATCTCACAGCACTCTTTGATTGTCATTTGAACGTAGAAGTTTGTTCAACTATTAAAGTAGTGAAATATTTATATAAGTATGTTTACAAGGGACACGATCGAGTGGCCTTCAATATTCTGGCTGAAGATAAAAATTGTAACGATGAAATTGCTCAGTTTCAGTCGGGGAGGTGGGTGTCGCCATGTGAGGCAGCTTGGAGAATTTTTGGATTTGATTTATTTGAGATGCATCCACCAGTCTTACCTTTTTCAGTTCATATTCCAGACATGAACACAGTTTGTGTACGCCCTTATGAACGTCTGGATGTTGGTATTGCAAGCGGTGTTTATGGTAGGACTCAATTAACTGAGTTCTTCCGTATGAATGCAGCTACTGATAATGGTCTTGGTTACTCATATGTAGAATTTCCTGAACACTATAAGTGGGATGCTTCAGCAAAATCATGGTCCAAACGGCAAAATAAAAAATTAATGATAGGGCGATTAGCTTTTGTCGCTCCTTCGGAGGGTGAACGCTTTTACCTTCGGCTTCTATTACTGAATGTCAAAAGTCCAAAATCATTCACAGACTTGCGCACAGTTGAAGGTTATGTGTGTGCAACTTTTAAAGAAGCATGTCTAAGAGCTGGCATTTTGGAAGAGGACGATACTGCAAGAATTTGTTTAGCAGAAGCAACTGAAATTCAGCTCCCTCGGGCTTTACGCCGACTATTTGCAACTGTTCTTATATTTTGTCAGCCGAGTAACCCTGAATAATTATGGTTTAAATATTATTCTGCATTATCAGAAGATTTTGCACGCCAATACCCTGGTGTTGAAAACAAAGTTAAAAGATTAACTGTCAGATTAGTAGAGCAGCATTTAGAGGCCATGGGCAAGTCATTATCTGCTTGTGGTCTGGCTGTTTTAATGGAAGACACTGATAACCAGATTGATAGAACAAAAGACATTCAAGATGCTTTAGATGCTCCGATTCCTCAAAATTGTATAGAAAGTCGTGGCTTGCTTAATACGGCACAAAAGGAAATTTTTACTTGTATTATGCAGCATATCGTAGAAGGAAAACCAGGGGCATTTTTCGTAGATGGTCCTGGTGGAACTGGTAAAACGTTCTTATATAATGCATTATATGCTGAGATCCGCCTTATGAATAAGATTGTTTTACCTACTGCTACGTCTGGAATAGTTGCAGCAAATATTCCATCAGGTAGAACAGCACACTTAAGATTCAAAATTCCATTGGACAGTGATGCTTCATTAGCTTGCAGTGTTTCTAAGCAAAGTAGCCTGGCAGCGTTAATAAAAGAAACATCTCTTATAATATGGGATGAAGCATCTATGGCAAACAAGCAAAATCTAGAATCTCTAGACCTTTTATTACAAGACATATGTGATAGTGATGTGATATTTGGTGGGAAGGTAATTGTCTTCGGTGGAGACTTTCGACAAGTGTTGCCTGTTGTTCCTAACAAGACTATTAGAGAAGCAGTGGAAGCAAGTATAGTGAGTTCTTATATATGGCAGCATTTGCGGAGATTCAGGTTAACTGAAAATCTAAGAGCTAGGGAAGATCCTTCATTTTCTCAGTTTTTAGTTGCACTGGGAAACGGTGAACTGCAGACCATGGAAAGTGATTTTGTTGAGTTGCCACCTCAGATAGTGCAGACTTTCCAGCCTGATGCTGATCCAATAGATGAGTTACTCGAATCTTCTTTTCCAGAACTTGGTTCAGGTGCTCTGGACCCTCAAATCTTTTCAAGAAGGGCTGTTCTAACACCTATAAATGACGATGTAGATACTATAAATTCGTTCATGATTGAGAGATTCCCAGGACAAGCCATATCTTATACAAGCTATGACAGTTTCCTAGATGATAGTGGCAGCGTATATCGTACAGAATTCCTGAATAAACTATGTCCAGGTGGAATGAGCCCTCACAATCTTGTGCTCAAAGAAAACTGCCCAGTAATATTGCTTAGAAACCTTCTGCCATCTTCTGGTTTATGCAATGGAACGCGCCTTATATGTAAAAAGTTTTTCCCTAATTTAATTGAGTGCGTTATTTCTATCGGACAGTATCAAGGGGAACATGTATTTATACCCAGAATTAAACTCAGACCATCAAGTTCTCAGAAATATCCTTTCCAATTTCAGAGGAACCAGTTTCCTATCAAGCTCAGCTTTGCAATGACTATAAACAAGTCACAGGGACAAACTTTAGATCAAGTGTTAATATATCTCCCTCGTTCGTGTTTTTCACATGGTCAGTTATATGTGGCTCTCTCACGTGCACGGTCTGCAGATAAAGTGAAAGTTGTATCAGTGGCTCCTACTTTACAACATTCAGAAAACTCTGTTAAAAATGTCGTATCTTATGCTGTCCTAAAGCTAGCAGGAGTAATTTAGGTGATTATACATTGACTAAGCTTACTAAGTTGATTTTTCGAAATATATAATGGCAGTCCTAATTTTCGTGTTTTACTCTTATTTTGCAGGAGTAATCTAGGTGTTGTTAGATCATTCCTAAAATAAGCTAAGTCATGTGCAATCACTTTAGTAGTGGTCCAATGTTGAATTCCAAGTATGCCTTTTCTTTCACCTATTTGCTTGATACTAATATACTCTATTTTGCTGCAATCCATTTTAATGTGAATATACTAATTCATATATGGCATTAACTATGGGTGATATTTAATGACAATAATGGTTGGTTAGTGATTGTGGGTCATATCTTTCTTGTTTTAGATTGCTACTGTATATTATGTGTGTGTGTGATTGTTTTAACAGGGCTTTATGACTACTGTAATAAATTAATATGCTAATTGATTCCAATTATGCATTCTGAACTTTAATACATGTGATTTTTTTCAATGAATTCTTGTATGTGCTTTATTCTAAAGCGTATGAGCAAAGATTACTTTTAGTAAATGTAGACACTTACTTTATTACTCTAGATCATAACTTGTTTTAAAATAGGTGTTTTGTATTAATGAGTTGTTGTTTGGAGAGTAATAAGTGTTTAATTTTGAGTAAATTGCTATTTGGGTTTTCTGGCTTTGACATCACAAGGAAGGAGTGAACAGAAAATCTGACTAGACTTTATTACATGTCTACTGGAAGAAAAAACCTAACTCAGGATTTATTGCTTGATGTTCAATTACAAATCTTCATATGAACTAAATATTATGCCATATACTTTAATTTCAGGTCCTTCAACGGTTCAGAAGATTCCTCCGGAGCAATTTTGCTGGCATGGTTTTGTGATAACTAAAGCATTAGCCCTTGGGTTTAGAAAAGAAGTGTATAAGCATCTTGTTAATTGTTTCTTGATCATCAGGCAAACCATTCATAAATTGGTTTTCTGTCAAGCTTTCGCCTTACGTATTTTCATGTAGCATACAATTATAGTGGACACAATACTTTTAATTATAATTCTCCTTTGATTATAACTGATATTGTTTAGAGCAATTAGAATGATTGATGGTTGAAATTAAACTATGTTTGCTTCACTATTTAACATTATTGGTTGTAAGAGCAATTAGAATAATTAATGGTTGTTTCTGATTTATTTATTTAGTTAAAGATCTAATGTGATTTCAAACCCTTGATTTCTTTTGCTCTATTTTGTCGTGCAAGAAGATACCCTTATTGTTAGGCTTCATGGATCAACGTCAATCTGCAAATGACATAAGCAGGTCAGTGGTTTTAATGATTTTTCAAAGGTCGCTGCTCTTATTCCCTTAATACATCATTTTTATTCATGATTATTCTTTTTTTCTTTTTATTTATTTTTCGGTTTTTTATTCCTGAATAACTTAATTCATAATGCTATTTTAATTGTTAGCTGGTGCTTTATTTCTATTTTTATACAATTAATGGTCATATGGCTTTCAACTAAAATATCTAGTTTTGATTAGTTGGAACTTTGGTCTCACTCTTTCAGTGTAATACTAAGGCAACAATTGCAGCTCATTGCATCAAGCGGATAAAGGACAATTATGAATTCAAATTCAACAGATAGCTTAGGTAGAATCTAAAAGTTTAAATCTATTGAATTTATTTTAGACTTACTGAACTTGTGTTGTAATGCTTGGGTAGAGCGATCAATGGTGTGCTTATTCATAGTACTGGTATGTTTGCTTGTAGATTGCTGGAATAGTTTGAAGAGCGGAACAAAAGAAGAGAGCATATATTTTTTCAGATTTCTGAGCTCTGGAACCATTGAAGCCCTTAAGAAATGTGACGCTGATAGCATCATGTGGTCTACAAGTTCGTAAATCTATGGATTCGTATATTTGAATTTATTCAATGAATTCAATGACATATTGACATGGAGTATTTTATATTCAACCTTAGTTCCTAAGAGTTTATATTTCTACATGGATTTTAAACTGGAGTATTTGCTTGCAGGTAGTATTAGACAATGGCATTGCTCGAGTGACAATATCTAAACCACGAGAAATTGTTACTGGACTAGCTTATAATGGCATTGACAATTTGCTTGAATCTCGAAATCTTGAGGACCATAGAAGGTAAACATTCTATATTTAACAGATTTGTACAGTCATTTTTCTTAATGAAATCAATACTTCAATCAGTCTCTATATACAATCTAGAAACAAAATTCAAGATAATGAAAGAAAAGTTGATCATCACATGTGGAATTTTTAATTTTTTCTGCTTGTTTAATGATATATTTAACTGTGAAATGTATGCATGTATTGGGAACTTGTTTAGAATGATGCTAATACACCAGGGACATTTGACATGTTTGTTCTTCTTGCCTTTTTGTTTCTTAGTTTACCAAAATTAAATGGATAAAATTGTAAAATTTAGGCTTTGTTTTACAGATTTGACTAAGGCTATTTGCTAACTGTATGCAAGATTAAAGCAACAACTTTTCAGGTGATTATGTTACATGATGATCAGGTGGAAGTTTTCTTTTGTAGACAGTGGGATCCTTCACTCAAGGGCAAGTTATTCCCATTGAATATTGATAAAAGGTAGTTGCTTTAATCTTCACCATATTATATAAACTTCTACTTTTTATAGAGCACACTTCCTCCTTTATATATTAGTACCCCTCTCTCTTGAAATAGTTTTCATGTTAATAATGTAACTAAATCCAATAATTGTTAAACTTTTAGGTCTATAATGCTTCGTGGCTCATCCAGGTCATATACCTATGCAATCTATGAGCATATGAAAGATTGACCGGGCTTCAGCTTGGGTGAAACTAAGGTCACATTCAAGCTCAATAAACGGTGGTATAAAGAAACTGATTTCTTTGGACAGGTTTCACGGAAAACCAAATTAATTAGAAGAAATTTAGGCAACAAAGCATGATATGTTTAGTCCTGAGGCTGTTCTGTTGACAGGCCCTGTTAAACCAAACATTAAAGGAGAGGTATCATAATTTCTTATCTCATGTAGATAAAAGTTGATTATTTATTGGTTTTAAGTATTTTTATGATTTGTTCGATCATCTTTAGTGAATATATGAATTGTTATATTATATAGGTTGATGACAAATATCAGTATTCATGTGACAACAAAGAGATAAAAAACCATATACGCTTAAATTACAGCCTACTAAAGTGAACTATTTAAATTAACTTTCTATCATAAAATAAAAGTTAATATTAAAAGTTGTACAATATTTCACATTTCTATATTTCTATATTTCTATATATATATATATAGGTCTGCTATGATTATGACTTGTTGTAAAGCCACTCCCTTAAAAAAAGGAAAATTGTTTTCTGGGATATGGTTATCCATATATAAAAGCAAGATATTATTATTCTATTACTTATAAAAACAATAAACTTTTCCAGGCTTTATAAAGTATTATAAAAGTACAGTAAGCAGCTGAAAATCTTTACCTAAAGTATGGAATGAACAGTGTTAACAGTAAAGAAGAAAAAACTTACATTGCGTATTATGAACTTATTACCAGAACCTTCCCCAATTACTGTATTCTAGCTATTTCCTATTTTTTAAATTTGTACTAACTCATATAAAAAGTGTTTCATCTTTGGCATTTCGTTTTTTTTCACAGAAGAATCAACCAAAGTAGCAGCGACTTACTCAGCCATGGCAGGTATGGTCCCTTCTTTTATAGATTGCTTCCATTATCCTTTAGCTCAATTATTGTTAATGTTTTTCCTATATAAATTCCTTATTGTGTACTTGATTAACTAATATTTAATATTAAATGTTATAACATTTTACATTATCATGTATAACTACTGCTATACAAAATAACATGAAAGCATTTGTATACATAGATCAAAAATACAAAACAACTAGACAGAAGCCAGAGTATGTGTACTTGGATCAGTTAAATGCAGCATGCAAGACTTATATAGTAAGAGTAGTTGTTGCTGAAAAAGGAAGGGACACACTATCCTCCAAAAAAACAGTTAGATTCCAAACTTTACTTCTAAAGGATGAAAAGGTATGCATTTATTACTTTATACATGTAAATATCACACTAACTTTATTACAATTATGATGCAACTGAGAGAATATTCCTAACTATAATCTAAATCATATCAAGCATTTAGGTAGGCTTAAAGAGTTATGGTAGGCTGTACAGAAATTACATTAACTACTCTTGTAATAATCATGCTTATGCTATAATCATGCTTTTACTTATGTTATAATCTTAATCAGCTAAAGGTTCAGTTAAATATAGTACACATGAAGCTAGAATATAATGCAATCCTAATTATGTTTAAATGTTCATGATTTAAGTGAAATATAAAGTATATAGCTTATTATAGTTAAATCTTTTGAGTAACCTTTTTATTCTTTTATAATATAAATTACATCAGTGTTAAAATCACTTTATTTTAGCAAAAATAATGTTAAATAAAGCACGTATTTTGTGGCACTTTAATTAAATCTCAAACAAAAGATGCCTTATTCTACAAATCTAATAGCAAATTATATATAATTAATAAGTTTAAGGGACCTTATAATATAGTTATAAAGCTCACCTTGTTTCACTATCATTTTCTGCTTTATAGGGTAATAGGATGCGTGGTACTTTATTTGGCGATCAAATTGAAGCATTTGAAGAAGCATTACAGTACCTAGGTGAATACGACATTTCTGCTGCACCTATTAAATTCATTGAAGAAAAATGGAGAACTGAGCTTGATCAGTTTCCGTACCAAATGGCTTTTGGTAGTAGAACTATGATCCAGCCAGTTCATCCAGAGCTCGGACCAATTATGCCTAACTATCAACCCATTGCAAGTATACCTCGTACAGTTGATCCTGATGAGAAATACGGTATATTGCACTCACATAACAGTTTCACATAAAAAAAAAAACAATTAAAAAACACTAACAAACTTATCTGAATTCACAGATATCGTGGGTGTGGTGTTATATGTTGAAGAAGAGCCAAGGAAAATTGAAGCCAGAGATGGAAAGCGAGAGAGCTTCGTACGAGAAATAGTCGTTACTGATGAAAGGTTAAAATCAGTTCACCTAAATGTTCAGGATTAGTAAAAATAATATTTGATATATATTACAATTTGGCATCACTAACAATAAGTATTTCATGTAGCAGTTGCGATCAACCGCTCACCATCTCATTGTGGAATGACCTAACAGCACCCAAATTCTTCGAAAAATTACCTAATTGGGCAGAAGCATTCCAGGTTATAGGTTTTAGAGCTCTTAAACCATATACTCGCCGTGGTAAGACAAAAACTATTGTACTTTAGATCCCAGGTGATTTTTTACTATGAGAGAATTAACACTATCTGTTTTATTTAGGTTTTTCAATGAATTCTGGTATGTCTACTCGAATAATCTATAAACCTGAAGGGGATCGAGCGCGTGAGCTGTCTGACTGGTAATCACTAAAACTTAGCCTAGCAAAAACAACAACCATTATAGTGTGTTGATCATCTCTATAATGAATAATGTGCAGGGCTAACCTCTTCCACCAGAAGATATTAGATAGACAAACTAGAGTATTAGAGGTTAAGTACCCAGGTGAAAACAAAAAAATTGTTTCCATTGCTGAACTGAGACGGAAAAAGGTGAACTATAATTCATTACAGCCTCTTCCAAGGTTTACAACTTACTAAAAATTAAGTGTGCATGCTCTAACTGATATTTTGTGAATTATAATACATGTGTAGCCAAGCAACACCATACAGGAAGAACTTCTATGGATAGAGGTAACCATTCAGAATGCAGAATTAGAAAAAGTGCACGCGTACACAGGCTGTTCAAACTGCTGGAAAAGAACCAACCTTCCATTGCAGAAGCATTATTCTTGCACTTCTTGTTATAAGAAAGAATGCATATGCACTGAGAGGTATAACACTAGCTCTTTTTAAACACCAACCTTTTTTGTTAATATTGTACCTAACAAAAATTCCTGTGAATTCATGCCAGGACAACCTTTAAGTTTGAGGCTAGCGATGGCACAGGCACTATGGCATTCACCAATTTTAACGATGACACAGAAAGACTGTTTAGGAGAAGTGCAGCTGAAACTTATGCCATAAAAGAAGCGGTAAATTACAATTACCATGTACCTACCTTTTAATTTTTGAAACAGTTTATATATGCCATGTAAATTTCCAAAGAATACTTGAAAGTTCTTATTTCATAAAAATAAAATTATAAGTAAAAAAATTAATAAGATTAAATAAGCTTAAGATACATCTAGAATATAGATTTTCCAATAGACAATCACCCATTAGATGTTTAAAGGTCCAGTAGACTTGAAAAAGTCAAACACTCTTATCTTATGCCCTAGAAACCAAGAACACAAAAAAACCATTATTAGCAAAATTGTCAACGGTTACGTGAATTGACAATGAATTGTTGAGTAATGTTGCTAATCATTCCCGCATAAAAAGATTTATAAATAAAAAAGAAAGGTAAAAAAAAAAAGGCAGAAAAGAAATATAGTCATCTAATTAGATAATATTAGCGTAATACACAGTCAAAGTTATATATTATAATATTTACAAATTTTGATATAATACTAATACTTGCCATGATGATAAATACAATGCAGGATGACCACAATGCATTCGAGGCTATTCAAGACATGCTTAGAAGCAAACCGTTCTACATTAAAGTAGGACCTACATCGCATTTAGGCCAGAACAATGTTCTAGAATGGAATCTCAAGGGTATAGGAACTTAAGGAAGAACCTGAGACACCAGAAGTTTTGCAACCATTTGAAGGCACCTCCAACCAAGCAAAAGATGCAAATGAAAAGGAAAAACAGCAATCTATGGAACAAGGGAATCCAGAACCAGTCATTCCAACCCCAAACATGAAGGGTTCTTCAGAAAAACATACACAAGATAGCCCTTTCACTCAAACACTGGAGTTAACTCAGGGAGATATCGAATCGCTTAAGCGAAAGAAAGCTTTAGGGAAAACTCCTGTCCAATTCCAAGATGAGGAAACTGAATACGAGCCACCGCTATCACAATTCCGTGCAAAAAAGAAACTTTGCTTCGGCGGAATGACTCCAGAGAAGAACAAGACAGCCCAAGAACCAGAGATATCACCAAGAAAGGATCAAGCTCAAGATGAAACTGTCCCCCTGAAAACTGACAAGAAGGAAGCCAAACCTGTAACTGTGAAGTCTGAGAAGCCAAAATAATCTTCCATCAAATCTGCCACGACAAATGATAAGGTGGTGAACTACAAAAAATATACATAATAGCCTAATGGAGTACTGCAGAACAACAATCTAAGGTGCACTACCTGCACATCATCTAAGTATTAAATATTTTGCTAAATTACAAATATATGGACAACTATAAGAAATTCTCTTTTGCTCAGAATGCTAAGCACAATAGATAGTTGCCCATGTATTTACATAAAACTCCAGCATCGTGTAGTAATTAATCTTCAACTTACTTTCAAAATTTCATGTATATAGAAGTAAGATGCTGTAAAAGTTGCTCTTTTGAGGGTTTCCCAGGAACAGTAACAACAGTTAGTGTTCCTGGCAAACACCATAATTAGATCAAGGTCTAATGTATTGCTATATTACAAGAGATGTTAAATTTTATCTATAAAAATATAGTAGTTTATATATGTGGCTTATTTGAAATTTATTATTATACTGTTTTTTTAAAGAACTAAGTGAAATTATAAATAAAAAAGGGATCATGATAAAGAAAATAATCATCTTATGAGAATTCATACTTAATTTATAAAACATCAATACAGATAAATCGCATAAGCTATAAAGTTCAACAATAAAAAGAAAGAAAGGAAAAATTCACATATAAAAAGAAAACACATAAAATTTGTTATTAAAAATATAAAAACCTAGACTAATGTGTAGAATTAAAAAATAAACAAAGCTAATATGCTGATATTGTTAAAGCAAACAAAAAAAATAAGAGTTGATATGCTATAAAGGTTTCAATAACATGACTAAAGCTGAAACAACAAACATAAATTGTCATACACTAATCTTTTTATTAGGGAAGTTAAAATAACCTTCTGCATATATTATTATCATAAAAAACATTACATTTTAGAATATCTCAAATCTTCATTTATTATTACAACTCCATTTCTCAAGCGTTGCAATAACCTATCACTAAAACAACGTCTAAAGAAACACAATCTCAAGCACAATCGAATCATTGCTCTGCAAAAAAAAAATTCCGATTTCCCATATTCTAACTGACCATCTACAATCACTTGCGAAATTCCACCCATTAACCTACTATGAATGTTTCCATTCAATCGGGAACAAATTTCGACAACAAAATCCCATCTTCTATTTCCAAATCACATTTGAATTACAGTCCGCATATTGACATGATGAAACACTTGATTACCAAAGGCTACTGGAATTTCCTGAGAATGAACACATAAAATGCATTAGATACAATAAGATCACTTATTTAAAATTTTATATTCATAACTTAAATAAATAGAAAAAGACACTAACCAAAGTATCTTCTTTATAGCATGTTGGTGTAATTACCCAAGGGAACCATGGCTGATTCCCAATTCCTAGGGCAACAAGAAAATCATCACTAGAAGAACCATTTCCACCACTTGACATAGACCTATGTAGAGGTTCTAGAGAACCAAACCTTTCCACCATTGACGATGAAAAAAATCTTACATAAAATCTCCTATTCCCACCATAATATACAATAACAATTTCACCTTCACAAATATGATTATCATTGACAAACCCTTCCCAACCAAAGTCTAATAGCATAAATTGCCTACTATCCTCTGTCACTTTCAGCAACTGAACAATCCATACACGACTATTGCTGCCACGAATGACTTCCACTAGACTAGATACACCAGATAACATAGATGTCCAACTCTCCGGTAACTCCTACAAAATAAATTAAAAATTGTATTGAAATCTAATTCCAAAAAATAAAAACACAAGCAAAAAACAAAATTAGAATAAATAAACATCCAAGAACAGGAAACAAAAAAAAATTAAACAAATCGTTTTTTTCATACCAATTCTTTACGATATTCATCTTTAAAAAACAGCAAATGAGAAGGTAAATTTGTGTATAGACTCATAATTCCTGTAATCAAAAGAATTAATTCAAAATTAGAATGCAAGCATATATATCAAACAAAAAATATAAAATAATCAAGCCTTTCATACACCTTATCACGATCTTTCTTTCAATTACTTGCACATTACAATGGAAGCTGCATATATAGTAAACTGTGTATGAAAAACATCTCATTGACAGTAATTCCAATTAAAGATAATATTGATAAATATTGACCACATTTATAACGGCTTATTAACTATATATTAAACACATGTATAACTTCATCAAGAATAAGATCTTCACATTGACTATAAATTGAATGCATTGAAAATAGATAATAGAAAACTTGACTATTCATCTAATATATATGAAAGTTGGTCAGTCAATTTCAAACTTACATACCTATTAATCAAATCACAAATACAATAACTCCTTTGGAATTTATCAAGGTACAGCCTGATAAATAAAAACAAGATAAATATTCAAATTAAAATATTAATGTTACTGCTTTGTATAATGCCAAGTAATAAAATTCAGCCACTACAAAACAAGAGCAGCATCATCAGCAACATTTAAAACGTTCCAGCATATGAATAAAGCAAACAAATTTAGCAGTAAATGTATATAAACAGAACAGTTATTAGTATTCAATAGCTATAAACTAAGCTTAAATCCTCATAAAATAATAAAAGACATTATCGAATAACAGATAATGCATCACATAGTAATTACAATTACTAAAAGATAAAGAGTACATTGTACATTATATAAGTACAATAGATAAAAACTGTAGCCATGTGAATCAAAATATGAGAAGACACTCTTCATGGACTGCAAATACTTCAGCTTTGCAGTATGAAATCAAATCACTGTACAAAAACTTATAAGAGATATACACAATCTAAAATCAATCCACACACATGTATCTTCTCAAATAAATCATACAATAATACACCATCTAGCATTGCTATTATATTTGACAATTGTTTAGAAGTTCATTCAGATGATCACCCAACTAAGGATTAAAAACACAGCCTTCAATCCTAGCCAGAGTAGTTGCTTAGATGAGTCTCAGACATTATCTGACATAGCATGAACATTAGTGAAGCTAATGATGCTCTTTAAATTAGTACAGTTTGAAAGTTAATAAAGCTTTAGAGTCACAATATGAAATATTAAAGTTTAAAGCAGCAACTTGGATTATCAAAATGGCATCAGTTAGATTTAAAGTTAGAAAAAGTCTTTCAATATTATACAAGACAAAGGAATAATAACACTTTAACCAAAATTGGGATAAATATATAAAAACTCAGATCAGAAGATAAACCCCTGATTTAGCAATGTAGCATTATAGTTTATAATACATAGTAATAAATTAAACCCAGTAAGGAATTGTCAAAATAAACTAATGAAAAAAATTCCCAAAAAAGCTTGAAGTTTCCAAACTGGATGAGATCTTGGTGAGCAATATAGACAACAAAAAGTAGGCTGCACCTTTCGGTGCTAAAACTTCATATGGTATGATAACGTCAAATTCTCCTTTGCCACAACATATTTAAGTCCGTCAATTGCAATGTAAATCAGACACTTTTGCTAACTTAATTGTGTTATGAGATCGGGACTAAGTGACCTAAATACCAAGTAGCTGAGATTGAGGCACCCCTTTACCATCAAGAAGCCCTCCAAACGAATTTATGCTCGATAAGCAGAAATCAATGGCTTCCATATTCAGATTAGATCCAATTCTGCCAAGTTCCTGTAAGAACTATTCAGTAATCAACATTTCAGAAGCTCATACCTTAATTTTATAAAATCCAAAATATATCTATGATCGTAACATTTATGAATTAAATCATCATCAAGTTGGAAAAATAAGCAAAATTCATGTAACATTAGTGAAGCTAATCGTTGTCTTCTTATTTATCAATTATCCTTTGAAGTCTTATTTATTATTATCTTACACCCAATTTAAATGAACTTTTAAAACCCTTAGTATAGTTAACTCTTAAAAACAATTCACAACATTTGAACATCCCACCAAAATATACAACATAGCTAACTGGAATGGCAATATAATTTGTTATAGATAAGACTCAACATTGCAGAATCTGTTGACAACAAAGCTGCATCATTAATTCCAAATTGTGAAGAAGCATGCATGTTCATACTGCAGCAACATAAACAAGCTTGCATGACACTTATTCAGAGATGACAGCAATTGCAATTTATCATGCACCATTCATTTACAGCTGTAGCCATGTGATGCTTAAAGTGAATGCATTGTGAAGTATCTCTGTGAAACAGAAGACCTATGCAAGGTATTATCAAGATAAAGGTGATGCATAAAGCTACAATTTTTCAAAGAGAATAGCCGTAGTACTTTTAAGCCATTGAACTTTTAAACTTGCTCAATTTAATTTGAACAAATTATCAATTCATTTGCTTGTTAAAGTAAAGCTAAATTACTTATGCTAAACAAGAGTATACTTTTGGTAATGCTGGTAAAGTAATCATATCGATCGTTCTTTATGTTGAACTTTATATGGTTACTACAAGTTACATGATCTCGGAAGGAGATAATCTAAACAAGGTATTCCCGGAATTTTCAGTTGGAGTATTTGGAATCCCAATCGAAGGCAAATCATGCTTCATAGTAATCATTCCTCTAATTCTTCTCCCAACTATTTTGTTGGATAATCTAAGCATTTTGGCTTACATTTCTGCGGTTTATAATTAAAAATCTATTTAAAGTGATATAATGAACAGACCAATCACATAGATTATAACTGTCAAACGAACTTCATATCATGGTGGTTCTCCAAATGCTTAAGATTCTCTATGTAACTTGTAAGTATGTAATTTCTTTAGTAATTGTTACATTATTGTATTAAGATGGTGTTCTTTTACAACAATATCATGATGCTTAGCAATTTGATATTGGTGGGCCATTCTTACATGCATGCAATCAAATAAAAAGCAATAACGAAAGTACTACAAAACAAAGTGCTCACCTAAAAAAAAAATTACTTGTAAAAAAAAAAAAAAGGGGGAGCATTTTCTTACTATAAATAGGACTTAACATGAATATGAGCAAACACAAAATACTTCATTCCAACTCATTGCAAACCAAATAGAAACCTAAAATTATCTACAAAAAGAAAAACACAAATTCCTTATCATCCTAGCTTAAAAAAATGCCTCAAACAATAACTACCCAAATATATCGACTTCCCCTTCCTATTATAAACCAAAAAACAATTTCGGCTTACATAAAAATATTGTTACATCTACACATAAAAACACAATCAGCAGCAAAGTTCGTGGTAAAACAGGGAATCAACACCAAAGTTGGTGGTAACGTATTCCCTTAAAATGCACTTTAATATAATTATGTTACCGGTGGTTAAATTCACTGCAGAAGTAACATATTAATATTAAAGTGTATAAATAAATCCCAAGTTATGCATTAAAGAAAATGGAGTAGGTGTTTATGTGAAAGAAATGGAATTAATTTCCATCAGATGAATCCAACTCCAACAAATA